AAAAAGGCAGGTCTGAGGGAGGAAAAGGGGCCGGGGAGAGGGGAGGGGTTGTGCAGCCGGCACACTGTTCCCGGGCTCAGAAATGCAAGGGGGCCCATGAAGGGGAAAACTGATTTCTCCGTCTTTGAACGACATTCAATGATGTATAATCCAGTGGTTACAGTTTTGTTCTAGGATAGTTAATTGTTAAGATATACATTTTTACTTGGCAATCCGACACAAGCAAGAATAATAGAACAACGTGAAGCAGCTTAACTTTCACCATGTGGATGCCACACACTTCATTGTTGTGGAAATGATACTGCCGAATGCATCCCGGAAGTCATAACTGAACAAAATGTTTACAACTTGTTTAGTTCTAGTCCACGGCGATGGCACATCTTGCAGAAGTGTATTGGCTGTTCTCTTCAAAGAATCCCTAAAACACGATGGTCAGACCTTGTTGAAATTCAAAAGCCCTCTGTAGCCCACCTACCAGGCCTCAAATTAGCATCAGAAAATTGCTTACTGTTGAACCTAACTGCCAAAACAAGAACACAGATTAATCGAACTTTGTCTCACGTGACATCCCTCATTTGGTGATGGTCTCCCTTGTATGGTACAGAGTATTAGTACCAGCTGATATATGTGTAAAAGATTATCCAGTCCAAAAATGCAACGCTGGATGTCGAGGTGTCCAACTTAAAAAAAATTGACTTCAGAGCTGACAAATTTTCGGCACAAAGTATGCGGAGCGAAGCTAAGCCAAATGCTTCTAATTTGCTCATTGAAGTGAAACTATCTGGAACTCAGGGTGACGCAAAACGCAAAAGAAAGAGGTTCCATGATGAAGGTGATACAGAAGAAGCAGATTTGTCGAAACAAGATTATTGGTCACATTATGGGAAGGGACTGTTGTCACTTTTTTAGTCACATTATGGGAAGAGACAGTTGTCACTTTTTGGTCACATTAGGGGAAGAGACAGTTGTAACTTTTTAGTCACATTATGGGAAGAGGCACTTGCCACTTTTGGGTTATATTATGGGAAGAGACAGTTGTCACTTTTTGGTCACATTTCGGAAAGAGACGGTTGTATCTTTTGGTCACATTATGGGAAGAGACAGTTGTCACTTTTTGGTCACATTTCGGAAAGAGACGGTTGTATCCTTTGGTCACATTATGAGAAGAGACAGTTGTAACTTTTTGGTTACATTATGGGAAAAGACAGTTGTCACTTTTTTAGTCACATTACGGGAAGAGACAGTTGTCACTTTTTGGTCACATTAGGGGAAGAGACAGTTGTAACTTTTTGGTCACATTATGGGAAAAGACAGTGGTCACTTTTTTAGTCACATTATGGGAAGAGACAGTTGTCACTTTTTGGTCACATTAGCGGAAGAGACAGTTGTAACTTTTTGGTCACATTATGGGAAAAGACAGTTGTCACTTTTTTAGTCACATTATGGGAAAAGACAGTTGCCACTTTTTGGTCACAGGGGAAGAGACAGTTGTAACTTTTTGGTCACATTATGGGAAAAGACAGTGGTCACTTTTTTAGTCACATTATGGGAAAAGACAATTGTCACTTTTTGGTCACATTAGGGGAAGATACAGTTGTAACTTTTTGTTCACATTATGGTAAAAGACAGTTGTCACTTTTTTAGTCACATTATGGGAAAAGACAGTTGCCACTTTGTGGTCACATTATGGGAAGAGACAGTTGTCACTTGTTTAGTCACATTATCGGAAGAGTGAGTTGTCACTTTTTGGTCACATTATGGGAAGAGACAGTTGTCACTTTTTGGTCACATTATGGGAAGAGACAGTTGTCACTTGTTTAGTCACATTATCGGAAAAGTGAGTTGTCACTTTTTGGTCACATTATGGGAAGAGACAGTTGTCACTTGTTGGTCACATTATTGGAAGAACTGGACATGGTGTGAGCATTGGAAACATTTGCGGAAAGTTTTTATTAGTATAAGAAAGCCACAGAAAGAAAAATGGACAGCTTTTTGTTTCTGTTTTTTTAAGAGACACAGAGGAGTGTCAGCCCATGTTTGCTGCTGAAGATCGCAGGTTCTGAGGTGGAATGATCGCCACCATTTAGCAAGACAGACAGACAGACAAAAGGTGGGTGTGGGTTGGAGGGGGAACCACAAACACACACACACACATGCACGCACGCACTATTCACATCAGGTCATGTACTTTATATATATATATATTCTAAAATAACAAGAGTATCCGCTGTCTCGGTCTACATGATGACTGTTTACGTCTATACACTGGCGCAATAAACAAACCTGGACAATGAATAAGTAACTAGAAAGTCGAACTGAATCTTTGGAGATATGGGTATACAGAAGAATAAGTTGGTCCAAAACAATCCAAAACAGAGGTTCTGGAAAGGCTACAAATGAAAATAGAGTTATTGAAATAAAAAAAAAAAAAAGAGACAATGGAAATACTTTGGACGCATTAAAAGACATAACGCACTTTTAAAAACCATAGTGGAGGGAAAGGTCGAAGGCAAGACAGCAAGAGGTAGGCAACGATACAAGTGGGAGGACAACATCAAGAGATGAATAGGCAGCTGTCTGACTGAGTGTACAGCCAGGACAAGAGACTGAGCGTGTTGGAGATCCATTACAGCGAACCTTCACCGTGGAGACGACACCTGATTGACTACATTAACGTTCAGTCTATATAATATTAGTACACAATTCACAACACATCAATCTGCCCATACAATAGCTATCTGCGTCTATATAATATGGGTACAATACTCGCAACACATCTCTCTACCTATACAATAGCTATCTGCGTCATTATAAGTATAGTTTCTGCATATGATAATTCTGACATTTGTTGTTATTGAGAGACCATACTTAAAAGAGGGCTTAAACGAAGATTTGTTTGGCTTTTCTCGGTCGCTTGTTAAGCTGAGCCTATAAATCATATGTTAACAAGACACCGTACATGGGTGGAGCGCGTAAGGTCTCACCTTTCAACGATATAACAGTAAGGCCAGACATATGTTGGTGCAGTACATGAGCCCCCACACCATTGTTAATACCATCGCAAGGAATGTTACCGGACCACCCCTACTAGAGCGATAGTTCTGAGTTTTCTGTGTCTTACCACACGTGTTCTATTCTTTAACAACTTACTGCACACAGAATGCCATGAAATAGGTCTCAAAGAGAAGATAATAATAATAACACTCGTTTCATTTGTGTTTGGTGATCCTTAAATTATTCTGTCTTCTACCTTCATTGAGTTTATTCTATATAAGCCAACTTGTCAATGCAAGTTGAAAAAAAAAAAAAAAAAAAAAGCTTTAACCGAAATAATATGCTTTTTCTGAAGCATGTCAAATCTATATGTAATAAACAGTACTGTTGTGCACATCATAGCTGAACTTGACTGACTGGTGACTGCTAAAACACCTCAGCAGAGTAATACAGCAATAAATTTATTGGCGCTCACAGGTGAAGAGTTTTAAAAGACATACTAGACTAGAACATACCAGAAAGCCATACGTACAATGTCGATGTACAACTGTTCCCGCAAAAAAGACGCCGTTGTCGTTTAGAGGCTACAAGTTTGAAACCCATATGTGGTTACTGTCGCTTTTAACAGTGTCAAGTGTGTCCCCTCATAAATATTTATTTCCTTGCTTCTTTAGGTGTCAATTAACACCAGTTTATTCACTTCTCGAGGATGTATCTTCTCACAGTCCATGCCCTGTGGCACTAGCAGTCGCCTATCCACAACCTTTTGTCTCGTGTATTTTATATTAATACTGACACAGATGATCTTCCATGCCATTATGTCAAACCGTCCAGCAACTTCTCTCTCGGTCTCCCTCTGCTTCTTTCCACCTTCTCCTGATACGATCATAGGCGGGCTTTTAACCAGGCAACAGCTGGTTCTATTAGCATGTTTACTGTGGCTACTGAAGACAGGGCTGGAGTATGTGTGGGAATGTCCAAATACACTGATGTGAATTATTCATTCATTCATTCATTCATTCAAAGAATGTAGATTGCCTCCTTCTGATATGAACAATCAGTTCTCTTCGTGACTCAGTTTCTTTCCAAACCTCTTCACTGCTTTTATCTCTCCTTTGTGTTCTCACATTTCGCCTACAGAACACTATCTCCGTCGCTCCATTTATTTCTTCATCAACAGTCCAAATGTCCATGATTCACTTCCGTATATGAGGACATAATTAATACCGCTCTTTGGAATTCTCTTTCTCTTCTCAACTGACAAAGAACACCTTGATAAGTATTGTTCATTCTGTAAAATGCTGCATTTAAAGGCATCCTTTGACTAGCACAGTTAAAGTGATGGCCAGTACTGAAAGACTGTTCAGCCTCCGTGGATTCGGAAAGAGAGAGAGAGAGAGAGAGAGAGAGAGAGAGAGAGAGAGAGAGAGAGAGAGAGAGAGAGAGAGAGAGAGAGAGAGAGAAAGAGAGACAGAGACAGAGAGAGAGAGAAAGAGAGAGAGAAAGAGAGAGAGAGAAAGACACAGAGAGAGAAAGACACAGAGAGAGAAAGAGAGGGAGAAAGAGAGAGAGAGAAAGAGAGAGAGAGAAAGAGAGAGAGAGAAAGAGAAAGAGAGAGAAAGAGAGAGAAAGAGAGAGAGAGTGAGTGAGTGAGAGAGAGAGAGAGAGAGAGAGAGAGAGAGAGAGAGAGAGAGAGAGAGAGAGAGAGCCAATTGGATAATATAGTCTCGACTTTGAATATCTAGAGAAAAAAAAAAAAAAACTGCAAAGAATAGGTGGAGAGGAGACCTAAAAAATGTTAGCAAACAAAAAAGGTTGGGCAGAAGAAGGGTTTAGGGGTTGGTGATTTTAGAAAGATGGCATTAGACGGAAACAACCATCAACAGGTTTTCACACAATCTTCAGAATAGAAATACTTTCTTGACCATCAAATAACAAGTGGACAAAGCAGGCAAGAGCAAGGGATTATTTCTACGCTCTACCATTATGACACGTTATCCACTTACCGTTCTGTGTCTTTGGACACCAGGCTTTGCTGCTGAGTATGTGGCCATCTTCTGGTTGGCACGAACTTCCAAATTTAAATTTTCTGAAAGAAGAAGCTGTGATTTTTCCGTATGGGGGAAGTCCTAGCGGTTCCTTGCATACTGAAAAATAAAAGACAGGCGATTGTGAGGGACATGCAGTACGATTCCTTACCGTAGAGGTAGGCTCAACAGGGCTGGTTTCCAGCTGTTTATTGTGCATTAAACTAGCAAAAAGAGAAGAGCACTGTCATCGCAAAACCACCAATTGTTATAGAATCAGATTTCTGACTCTAACTGCATGATGATTCCCAAGCGAAACCCTACGTAGAACTATCATCAGGGAAGGCTCGCTCATGGGCCACTCAAACATCCAAGACCTACAACGGATTGCAACGAACCGCCATGCATGGAGAGTCATGACCTCTGCCCTATGTGCCGCACTCGACACAAGAGGAAAGACTAACTGAAACCTCTGGGTTGAAAAGCAGAAAAACTTTCATGCTGGCTATGGAGCATGCGCAGTGACGTGTCAGGTTACACTCATCAGGCAGGTTCTGATCTCCACTGAAATAACGTTGTCTGACTCAAGGTCCCATGGTCCAATAGTTTACTTTTAGGTTAGTTGCGTATCCTTTACAGGACGTTGCAGAACCAACCCTAGCAGCTTCTGGCTGTTGTGTGGTTTCTCTAGGCAAATTTACGTCCAGTAGTTTGCCATTGCTTTCTGGACGCTCGGCCCCCTGATACCACTGTTGAAACCAACGCAAGGCGCATGGCTTGCAGCTGGGATGGAACCTGGCACCCCGGCATTACGAAGCGTTCGCATCGACTTAGCCAAAGAGCCGACATGCTCCAATATAACGAATGATAAGCCGCGTTTCCTCTGCATTTATCAGTTATTCCGTTATTCTCTAACAGTGTATTTAAATCAGTCCTCTGCTCGCCAGATGAACGCTAACTGAAGTCCCTGTCGTCGTCCCATAACTGCTCCTTGCCTTTGCCAGTGAAAGTCAAACAAAATGCCCTTGACTGTCCCATGTAAAAACTAGTGACAAACCTGTCAGTCCAAGCCGAAACTTAAAACCTACACAGATAAGGTTAAAATACATAAGGCAGCTGTCAGAGATGCCAGTACTAACGGTCTTGCACAATAACAGCATCTTCCTGTTGGCGCAAACGGTCAATTACAAAAACCGGCACTGTACCCACAAAAGTTCACGTCATTCTTAACGAAACTGACAACCCGCAATTAGTGCGGTCAACAAAACGAGTAGTGAATTCGTCAGTTCACAGTGTCATAGCAAACACTATACCCAGTAGCTGGACAACGGAACCTTTAGACTTCAGGTCCATAAATGGCAAATCTGCAGCAGCAAAACTAGAAAAAAAAAAAAAAAAAAAAACGGGGTATGAAAGAGAAACATGACAAAAGACGCACGTTCTAAGGTATAGTGAAACGAAGGCATGGTGTCAAAATAATTTTTTTTTTTAAAGATTGGGTAAAGCAGGCCCACTCGCGCCTTGAGTGTGATGTAGAAACAACGACTAGGAGGCCTAAGGTGCGGGTGGTTTGCCTTCCCGAGGGCAGTATGAATCCAGAGCAAGCACTATTAGCGTCGATCAATATGAGGTGAGTGTCATTAGAGGTAGAACTATGGTTTCACACCGGCAAATTCAGATGCATAAAAGAACAATAGCATCGAGTCACGACTGGGTGAGGCTATTCTAAGTGGATTTTAGAAAGTCAAAGTGGCCAAAACATTAGGGTGACCTTATCTAAGTACTGGAAACCTCCTGCTGTGTTCGCTCTTCACTGGAGTGTTTAATACACGAATGGATTGCACGAGTTAAAAACGAACAATTAATAAAAGAGCAGATTACCGCAAATCATCAGCCCTGCACCACTCAGTTTATTCGTGCTCAAATCTTCTTCTCATAACATTCCTCAACGTGTAACAGCTGACGATACCAATATATTATATACTTACAATCGGGAAAATATAATTATTAATTAAAATGCAAACATACATTAATAATTTCTGCCTCAACATATGAGCTAATACTATCTGCGCACAGGAATGAATAAAGTTACATTTGATTGAAATATTCTGTAATGTAATTTATTTTGAACATTTAATGATATTTACTTACACTGACATCCCATAATCTCTACTCGCATGCTTGGGTGTCTATTCCACTGAACAGTGTGAAACTTGATATACCGAGCAATGATTGGTCTGTCCAAGTAGTTGTGTTTGACCGAAAAGGAATCTGTGTTGCCCTCAAACAACTGAGGGGGAAAATTAATGGTACAACATTAGTGCTTCTTATTTGTTATGTTCGTCATTTAATGTGCGTATGTCTCTCAATCAAACTTTTTTTTTTTTTTTGCAAATTCCAAAGTCTTTGTCTCTAACAATTCCGGACAAACAAACGCTCTCTCTCTCTCTCTCACTCTCTCTCTCTCTCTCTCTCTCTCTCTCTCTCTCTCTCTATATATATATATATATATATATATATATATATATATATATATATATATATGTGTGTATATACATATAATGGCGACGAAAAAGCAAGTGCGTATGAGTGTCACATACAAAGGGACCACCCCTATGCTGGTTGACTTGCCCACATACTGCACACCTCTATGCAAATTAACTAATTTCAAATATAGACACTTCTTCCATAAGTAGTCCTTCTTTGGTAAGTATGGGTCAAGATGTCAGTAAAAGAACTCGGTTCGATACTAATTGTATTGGGAGTGAGTTATAATATAAATTAACTCACATGTAAGTGATTTCCATGAGCAGGGAAGCCTTTTTCCAGGACCAAACTACCGCTTGTTGCGCGTAAGGAATTCTTCCCGCTTTTGGCTTGGAGACTTTTGAATCGTTGTGGCATTCGAGATTCAGCTCCCAAGGCCAGCAGACGTTATAACGCCTTTTCTGTCAACTTGCATTCATATTTTGTTTGAAAATCACCGTTTAAGCCGGGAACTTCATAAGAGCATGGGATGTATATTGACCTCTTTAGGAGCAGTGTTAGGATCATAGTCCACTAGAACCAACTGGGTTCAGCCATCACCCACCCACCAACCATCAGCTACAAGCTACCACTGGCATCTACCAGCCTCCAGCATCCAGATACATGTGGTTATTGTAGACCATCTACCAGCCTCCAGCATCCAGATACATGTGGGTATTGTAGACCATCTACCAGCCTCCAGCATCCAGATACATGTGGGTATTGTAGACCATCTACCAGCCTCCAGCATCCAGATACATGTGGGTATTGTAGACCATCTACCAGCCTCCAGCATCCAGATACATGTGGGTATTGTAGACCAATCTCCAGGTCAACATACGAAGAGGTGACTTTTAGTGTCACACATGCCACATGGCAGCCGATGCAAATCCATCATCATCCAGTACCACCAGCCTAAGCCTGAACATGTTTTAATTTTGGAACCTTGTTTCTAGAACATTTTGACTTAAAAATATCTATCCCTATAACTGACAATAGTACTTTCTAGAGGAACATTCAGAATGTTAAGTAGATTTATATCCAGTGATCACTTTGTTCAAGAACTGTCACGGATAAGTATTCCCTTTGCGAACTGAGCCACCCGGACACTTAGTGCCCATAGGCACCTCTACCCCGTTACTCAATCAGTGACATCATGGTCACAACAGTGACTGTTTGTAGAGCAGTGGACATTCTTGACTAATGTGTTTCATTGTTGGATTGTGCTTTTCTTGTTGTCATTTCTTCACTATTATTCCCTGGAGATTCTTTACAATTGTTAGCCATTATTATATCATGCTTTGTTATGTGGAACCAACTGTTGTTGGTGTCTGGTGTTTCAAAGTTAACTTTGCTTAGGTTTCTGTGTGCATTGTTGTCAGAGTAGATTTCTATTGATACTGTGTTTGTTTGACTGGTATGGAGATAATATCCAGTCTGTGGGCTAACAAGTGGTGAAGAAGTCCAGGGATATTATTAATTTTGTGGAGCCTATAATTTGAGCTGCCTCATAACTGTAGTGATTTTGGATGGTCGTTGGAGTTGCGGAGTACCTCTAGACAAACACGAGCCGCCATCGCAACATTAACTAACTTCAGAGTGTGTCTGTTAATATTAAAGGTAACCCTCATACAGATATGTGACACCATCGTCTCGTGACAATGAGAAACACTTTTTTAAGGAGATTTAGCAAAAGGATTCGGAAAACATTTCCCCTTATTAAATGAACGTATGTAATGTTTGCAGGAGGTTGTGTTGTTGTGAGTCTACTTCAGGTGCTGCAGGCGATTGTGTGCAAGTAAAAAGTACTGCAGGGGGAAGCGCCGCAAGCACGACGATTCTTGGCTATCGAAACTGTGATGTTTTTGTATTTATACTTTCATTGGTGGTGGCTCCACCCCCTCCCTCTAGAGAAAGAAAACAGTTACAAGGAGCGTATGAATAGAAAGATATTTCTGTTTCCACACTCCCGAACCGACGCGCAGGTAGCAGAACGGGAAAACAATCAAGCAAGCGAGCGGTGAGAAGGCAAGAAAAGAGGCAACGGTTAAAGAGTTCACAATAAGGAAAGCAACATAGCGACCTAAGGAGGCATGAATGGCAAGGGAAGTTACTCTAATCCTAGACCTGGGAACGTAAACAACACCAAGTAAATTTTTCAGGATTCTCGCACTGGCTGAAAATTGTTTTTAGAAACAATTGGGTTGCATTAGCCAAGGAAATCTGCCAGTGAAACAAGCTAACATAAGCAAATGCTGTATCCTATTTCGACAACCTTAAAAAATTAAGTAACCTCACGCAAACATGTATCGATGAAAGAAACCTCTTGTGAATAGCTGATGTTTTTTCACCAGTGGCTCACTGGAATAAATAATACCCCAGTAACAGAGCAATAAGCAGTCAATTCACTAGCAAACAATAAGGCAGCAGGTGAGGATTATATTACTACAGAGATTCACAAGGCAGTGGGTCGTGTAACCATTAAACAAAGTGAAAGATTTGTTTTAATAGCATATGGGCAGAAGCAAAAATCTAAAATAAGTGGAAGAAAAGAATAATTATTAAAACTCCAAAGAACAGTAATCTTACTGAGTAACAGATATAGAGGGTTCACGCTGATATTAGTAATGTCCAAAACATTGTGTAAAATAATTCTCATTTGAATTAAATAGTGGGAAGAAAAAGGCCGGTTTTCGACTGGAGAAGCTGTTTAGATCAAATATTCACCCTGAGACTTATTTTTGAGGTATTTGTCGAAAAGCAACGGTTCTTACTTTCAATATCATTGACGTTAAGAAGGATTTTCATAGCTTACATTGAACGTGACTGTAGGGAATTATTCAGTGCTACAGTATATCAATGAGAGTTATAAATATTGTCAAGGAAAGAATGAAGGTTTCGAGTGTGCAGTGCCAACAGATGATGGTTTAAATAATTGGTTTGCAGTTGAAACTAGAGTTATACACATACTTGGTTTCCCGACTTTTGCCTCTAGGCACAATGTGCTGCAGACGAAGTCATACCTCAGAGTAGCTGATGATACAAATCATCCTTTGCACGAAGCACTGGATGCCGTTAAGACTCTGAAGCTGATAAAAGGAAAGTTATGGATGGCTCAGGCGAACGACACGATCAGGCAGCTTTGCATCCTGGAGGACAGTAGGCGAGGAAAGGAGTGAGCCAGAGTGCCAGAGCAACAGTCAGACTTGTGTAGTCATTATGATACTGACCCGGCAGTCCAGAGAGTGGCCAGTATGTGCCTCGGAGGTGGAGATTCAGCAATTAATCCATTAAAATGCTCGCTTGGGTGATGTGATTATTTTATACAGCCGGTTCAGTGTCAAAAGACAAAAGAAGTGCCCTGGGGTTCTTAGCAAAAGCTCATGGTCGAAGTTGGGCACCGGGCAGCCTAGCATGTAACACAACATCCAACTTAAGAGTCAAGGTTGAGGTTGTTACAACAGCTTTCCGCTGGTTACAGAATGCGATGCACACACATCGTGACTGTAACTGACTCAGAAAGCATGCTGAGGAAGGTAAGGACAGAATGCAGAGTGGCATGCTTTGATTCTGAGGTTATTTGTAAAAAGGACTGTTTGGATCTTTTCCTAGGGAATGCCGGTGTAATGGAAAATGAACAGGCGGACAGATTGGCTGGCTCTGCATGACTTCGTGGAACACTGATGCGTGACCAGGCAGACGTAGTTAAGGCCTTATGGAGCACGTGTATAATTCGGAACAGCAAATGAATCATCACAGTCTGGTGAGTGTGTTGCAACGAGGAGTGATGAGATTATCTGGCCGATACTCGACGCTCAGAGGAAAGACAAGACGAACATAAATAATCAGACTGCTACCGGCACCATCGGTACTGGAACTCTGTACTGGCTGCTGAAGATGGGGACAGATCGCTTATGGGAATGCCCCAAATGCTGTGATGTCGATTCTTGAATCAACTTATCTCAACACGAATGGAGTGAAGCAGGGATGTACTTTATTTCTCCCATTTCATTTGGCATAACCACCAACTGTTGTGTTGGAGACATTCTGAAGATCTCAGTGATGTTGTTCTGCTAAGGAAAATCAGCATTGACACATAAAGAAAAACAGACTATTCAGGAAATTACCATAATAAATGGACTTTACATAAGTTACGAAAAGACAAATATACTGAAGACACCAATACAAGCAGATGTACTACTAAAGAAAAGAAAACATAATTTGTTTAGGGAGTAATTTTAATAGTCAGGGATACGCATTGGCAATACATCAACAAATCACAGGACATGGGAAGACACTGTCGAACGCTGACGATATGTTAGTGTAACGGCAGGGTAAAGACAAAGAACAGGTTGCTGGGGAACTACACACAGAACTCAACTGCATAAGTGATTAGTGAATTTGGTTGGTGTGGTGAAGCTGGTGAGTTTGTCAATCCAGCAAAGGCAGCAGTGACATGCTGGGCTTTAAATGATCATACTGTCATCACCCCGAGCCAACTGCAAATCTTTGCTCAGATATTACGGAAAGAAGACAGGCAATGAAATACCCTGGAATACGATTTAAACGAAGCCTTGCTTATACTCAGCACAGATGATAATAAAAGTGTGGGTGCGATGAGAGTGATGGTGACGGCAAACTATGAACAGAGTCATTTATGTTAAGTATGCGATGGCGATCCTGACTCTCAGCCATAAGCTCATGGAGGGAATGGAAAGGATTAAGAACGATGCTATGCGTATTATACTTGATGTACAAGAGATAACAGCACTTCTTGACTTTCCAACCATGGAAGATAGAATACAATTGTGATGATCACGTGCCTACCCCATGGTCAGTGCAGACACACCGCACCCTCCGCCCTGTGAAATTAGGAAGAAAAAAGGCAGCAGGTTTAACAAGAGGAAAATGGTGGATGGGTCAGCAGGTGTGTCCACTCGAGGACACAGAACCAGGTGATGAATGGGTAGAAGTATCAAAAGAGTGATGTAAAGACTTTTTTTCTGACAGAAAATGCAGTCAAGAAAGTCATGCCCCCGTAGAGGCAAAAGTGCAGGCCTTACTTTTTTATAATTGTCTAGAGAAGGATGATGTCATTTCCCCCCCGGTAGGTCTGTAGTTCGCCATGTGAGAAGCTCGTGGGAGTTAGAATTGTGAACCAAGTGGTGTTGCCTTGACTATAAGTAGTCTGTCCATGGAGATGACGGCAGTGACCTAAAGCAATAATATGGTCGCAGACACACACTTTACCCGCGCATGCTTTCTCAGTGACTCAATACCAACATGAAAGAGATCGTCAAGAGATTGCCAATTCAGTGCAGAGTGAACCTCATAGCACCTCTCATCCTGGTGTGTAGATTCTAATGCTCATGTCAACCCTTCAAAGACCTCAGTAACGTGGTTCTCCTTGAGAACGCATATAGTGAAGGCAGACTTACCAGCAGTGGAAAGCAGCGACACAATTTTGACGAGAACAAATCTGATGACATACCTCGGAGTAAGGTTTGATCGCAGCCTGTCCTTCAAAGAACATACTAAGAATCTTATAACAAAAGCACACAAAGGCCTGTCAGCAGTGAGGGTACTGGCAGCCGCTAATACTGAGCAGACTGCTTATGCATCTGTGTCCATGGACTTGTACTTCCACCCATCGACTATGCTCTAGCCATCCTCACTGTCAGACATAATTAGACGAAAAGACTTGGGAGGGTGTAAAACGAAGCAATGCGCAATATTCTAGGGTGCACTGGAGACATCTCTTGTGTAGTAATGAGATACTTTCTCGACTTCCCTACCATGAACTACAGGATTGAGATCCGGAGGGCTCGTGCCTACCTCAAGATAAGTTCAGAGAAGCACCCTTTGCACCACATGCTCTTCAGGAAAAGAGGCAAAAGACTTAAAAGGTGCAAATCATAGCTGGGTAGGCCAGAGGATGACAGCATGCAGATCTGCAGCCTTACAGATATCCATCCAGGTGAGGAATGGGTACCAGCGTCTAAAGCGCCCAATCTCACATTCTCCTGTGTCGTCACGCTTGATAGAAGTTGACGGAGCAGAATCCCGCTGTCAACGCTGAGGTATGTGTGGTTATCAGTGACAAGTCAAATATGCTGATTTTCGCAGATGGCCCAGTTATACGAGGATATAAAAGTGCATGGGCATTTACAGTTCGCTCTTCAGAAAGAAGAGTTTATGAAGCCAGCGGTGCTTTCTCCATGACAGCACCATGATGATGGAGGCGATGGCGGTGACACAAGCTTTCATGTGGCTAGTATCACAGGACTATTCCCGTGTATCTGCGTGTTCTGAGTGATTCTTTGAGCATGATCTAGCGGGTCGAGACAGGCTGTTTACGCAGACAGGGGACTGAGTCATTGCAAAATTCTCCCGTGTGTGCAGTAACTTTCATATTTGTCCCAGGACTTGCAGGTGTTGTCGGTAATGAAAGAGCAGACAAACTGGCAGGTGCTGCACTAATTGAAGATGGCCGGCCCATGGTTCACACATACATTGTCAATGCCCTTAAACAGATCGGACGGTCCAAGGATTTTGGAAGCAACGTGTCCACATCACTGCTAAGAATACGAAAATTGGGAGTAGAGATCGCCCCCGCCAAGTATGAGACGGGAAGCATTTGAAATTTTGTCAACCAGCACAGGACTGACAATATAAACCGCGTGACGCTGCTGAATATGTTGGGGGGGGGGGGGGGAGGGGGGGGGTAGGGCATCTGAGAGATCTATTCTGGTGTCCAGAGTTTATATCTTTATCATATCGCTGTTGACACCTAAGACATTCACACGTGATCTCCATTGCTGCCGGTATGCTGCTTTTGATGGTATCCCATGTCAGTTTACATTCCTTCATTTCCCGTTCTACTGTCCTTCTTCAGGTTTCCTTAGGTCGTCCACGTCTCTTTTTCCCATCTGCTGTCCACCGAAGAGCTGTTTTTGCCAGAGTGTCACAAGCATTCTGCAAACATGTTCAAGCCATCTCCATAGTCTTACTTTGATAACATTTGCCAGTGATGCATATTCTGTTTTCCTCCTCAGTTCTTCATTTGTGATCTTGTTTGGCCAAAATATTCGTAGAAATCTCCTTAAACGTTTATTTGTGTCCCGAGTGCTGTGAAGATAATCCAACTCATAACACAGTGGCTCAGTGAGTATGTACTCGAAGCTGACGCACGTCAGTTTCAAATTCGGGCCAAGGAAATGAGCAAGCTGATGGACTTGCAGGTAAAGCTACGCTGCAGGGCGGACAAGTCATAGACCGTGCTGATATACGGAATGCTCAATGAGAAGACGTTCGCGAGAACTAAGAAACGCCTATGAACCTGTAACCAAAATTAAACTGCAAACACAGCATATTAAAAGAGGAATAATAAGTCAATAGCACTATGCATAGACTCAAAGAAGAATAAGAAGCAAACACAGAAGTGGTGTTGTCTGTCGCTACACGCTGCGGTATGTACCGAGGAGGGGATCCGATCACTTATGGATTGAATGTTTCAATGTGCAATGAGGATAATCTGTGGACTAATTAACTGACAGCATTAGAAAGAGCAGAAGGCGGTCTATGACTAAACGACGCTACCTGCACATATGTTGCCAGTGTCTGTCCAACATGTGAGATAAAGAGCTAGTGTTACCATACATTTGAAGATTATGATCCTCGAAAATGGGGTTGGTTAAACATGTTTTTGTTTCAAAGGACGCTAAATGTGAGTTAGATTTTTACCTCTTGGTATCCCAAAAATAGTCTCACAGGGAATGTATACTCATTCAGGGGCGCAAGCTGAATAATAATGTCTGGCGTACTATATTGTTATTTAGGTAATAGCCATATTTTAAAGGCCTTCTGCCTTTAACAATGGGACAACTTGAATGTCCAGAAACATTAGTAGGTCTAAGAAGCTTCTTGAATATCCCGTATCTGAATAAGAAAACTGCTCAATTGCCATAAAATGTCACGTGGTTTGTGAAGTAATTAGTTGTTGTTCTATAATATCTATTTAGGTGAATGTTTGACCGTGCATATGGCTACTTTGAACTGGTAATCCTAGCGACAATCCGTACCAACTGTTGAAATGTAAGAAATCAACCACTGAAATCATTGATAGCAGCGATAAGTACAGTGACTCAAATCACAGACAAAAAATATACAAATAAGACAAAGTATCCTTACCCACTGATTACCATAGCTGTCTGTGATGTAGTTCCAGTGGTAAGCGTCCATACTGTAGGACACCATGAACCGGCTCACCCACTCAGTTCCGTCTCCACGACCCTGCGTCATCACACCCGTCACCTAATTAAAAAAAAAAAAAAAGTAAAAGTAAGTAAAGTTCCCTTTTCCCGCCTTTCGGCGCAGCGGGCATATGGGCAGAGCGTCCCATATTTTTTACAGACCGTCAGCACTCTGTGGGTAATGTGGTCAGCATTACGCCGGCTGTCTTTACTTTCCCAGGACAGCCCATCCTGGTACCCATTTTAGGCTGGGTCGACCTGCGACGTCCCATACCACGACAAAAATCCACGCATCCTGCAGTGGGTTTCGATCGCGGTATGCTGGCTTACGAATCGGACTCGCAACGCCTTAGCCACGGACGCCGCCGTCACCTAATACGGTCAACACAAATATGTTACAAATGTCGTTTGGATATTTCAAATTGTCTTTCCGATGTGTGTGTCTATAAATGAAGAAAAAAAAAAAAAAATGCCAAGAAAGCGAAGCTAGCAAACGATAATATAGCACGTGAGAATATAATCAAAAGGCAAATGAAGGAGAGGTCATTTGCTCTATCGTTAAACTATTACTCTCTGGATTTTCAAGGAAGAAGGGACTCTAGTAACAATGCCACAATCTCTCAGTCACGTCACTGTTCACTTAACGATCATCTTCGCACATGACCATACGTCAATCGTTTCATCTATTTAATAACATACATGCGCAATCGTGCGTACTGAATTACGCTCACCCCCCCCCCCCCTTTTTTTCCCCTCTCTTTCTATTAGTGAGCGTGTGTGTGTGTGTGTGTGTGTGTGTGTGTGTGTGTAATAATGCAGTGTGCATATTAACAAATCATTCAATTTAAACCCAAAAGTATATATGGATTTACTATGAGCTTCAATAAAACATTCGTGCGTTAAGGTCTAACCAGACAGTTGTTTAGAGGAAAGACACGTTGGAAGTCCGTTAAGGAATAAACTCTCAAAACTTTCAGGCAGAAATAAATTTTCCTGGGTCTCACTGACTTTGAAATCGTTTATGTTACAAAAGACAGCTACTCGTTACAACATAAGGATAATCCAGCAATTGGTATCTAGGTTTTCTTAATGCATAATAACGGAGATAACTTGCATGTACCTCACTACATCGGAGATAACTTGCATGTACCTCACTACAACAGAGATAACTTGCATGTACGTCACTACATCAGAGATAACTTGCATGTACCTCACTACATCAGAGATAACTTGCATGTACCTTACTACATCAGAGATAACTTGCATGTACCTTACTACATCAGAGATAACTTGCATGTACCTCACTACATCAGAGATAACTTGCATGTACCTCACTACAACAGAGATAACTTGCATGTACCTCACTACAACAGAGATAACTTACATGTACCTCACTACATCAGAGATAACTTGCATGTACCTCACTACATCAGAGATAACTTGCATGTACCTCACTACATCAGAGATAACTTGCATGTACCTCACTACAACAGAGATAACTTGCATGTACCTTACTACATGAGAGATAACTTGCATGTACCTCAATACATCAGAGATAACTTGCATGTACCTCACTACATCAGAGATAACTTGCATGTACCTCACTACATCAGAGATAACTTGCATGTACCTCACTACAACAGAGTAACTTACATGTACCTCACTACATCAGAGATAACTTGCATGTACCTCACTACATCAGAGATAACTTGCATGTACCTTACTACATCGAAGATTACTTGCATGAACCCCACTACATCAGAGATAACTTGCATGTACCTCACTACATCGGAGATTACTTGCATGAACCCCACTACATCGGGGAAAAACCTGCATGTACCCGAATAAATATGAAAGGTATTGAATCTCTTTTCTTGAGAAGCATATAGAGTCCAGGATTTGTACCGTACAGTAGCTATTATCAGTCAACTTTTCGTTTCACCAGACTCTCTTAGTAAGATATGAAAACAGTGCAGATGCCTTTCTTTTACGACTTTGCATCTCTGCATTCAGGGAATGATTGCCTGAGATTCGTGAGCTTAGGTACTCAAACTCATGTACAGCCAACAGCAGATGGTCATAAACACTAATGTTTAGTGGGTTTTCAACATTCATTTCCATCACTTGCTTTTTGTTGAGACTGATGGTATGCCCTCATTCTTTGATCCAGTTGAGCACAGGCTTATAAATAATGATTTCTGCTTCCCGTGTTGTGTCGAAGCTGGGCATTTTGAAGTAAAGACTGTTGCCTAGGCAGCATTTACCCCCCTCCCCCTCTCTACGTCGCCGTGATCACAAGGAAAGGCAAAAGCCAATACAGCTTGGCACCGAGGACGTTGCAGGAGCTGCCGAAATAGCACTGTCAACAATGCTGAACCTCCTTAGGGATTCCGGATCCGGATTTTTAATAAATGTTTAATCCCAAAGAGCTTTCCAAAGGTAGGGTATGGCCACAAGGCAGTTGAGGTTTTAATTTCAAATGTTTTCTTTCTTCCAGATGACCTGCACTCCCGTGCTTGCCAGACTCATCCGCCAGAAGTTTCAAATCGAGTTTCCTTTTCCTCGATTAGCTGCACTCCTGTACTGACGAAAATCATCTAACCGAAGTGTCTGGTTAAAGTGCCAGAGACCCGCTTTCGACCCTTCTCCTGTTTGTTAGTTTAAACATCTCCGCCACGAGAAGGCCAGGAGTTGGACTTTTGCTGTCAAAGGCTTTAAGAGACGGACGCCATGAGGGTATTTCATGGAGACAGAGATTGTATAGTAGGCTGAAAAGAAATAAAGGTACCTGAAAGTAATCTAAGCATGTAAAAAGGTTTGCACGTCCGGAGAATGTAATCTCAGAGAGGGGTTATTCCTGGAAAAGAACGAAAAGGAAGACCATGGTGCAGATGAATTCAAGATGTGATTGGATATATGATTTACACGTGGGGGAAAAAAGGTAGACATGTAGGTAATTTTAGAAATGTGAAGAAAAACTTGTAAAGAAATAAATTACACACAAGACAAGTTACTGAATAATGATAATGTATGGATAAAATTAACAGACAAAGAACGAAAGTGAGAATGCAGCCAGACCAGACTGCATATGAGACTTTTTACAGTAGGACATCTAGTAGGAAGGCGAGAGAAGGACCAAGATAGATGGTATGGCTGAAAACTGCAAAAAGATGAACAAATCCATCACTCAAGCCACCCGAGAAGAGCAAGACAAATAGAGTAAGTCACGACACTGGGGTACAACCTGGCATCAGTGAAACGACAAAAGAAGAAGATGATGATGAAACTGTAAGAGCACGTGATTCGTGCACTTACTATCACCACTTTGTTTTACTCATATTATAATTATGACACGCTGGCGCTAGCCTCTGCGATTAGTAAGAACAAACCAGTTCACCTTCAAGATACTTACCCTTGCTGCAACACCGAGGTCTACTTGCAGCCACTCTGAAGAGCTTTTGTATTTTGCACACCAGCCAAATTTGTTTGGGAGGTAGAGGCGAGCGTACTTTTCGTGGCAACCTCGGTCCCATTCACTGGGGTAAGTTGAGGAGGAGCTAATCTGCCAGTCACTGATAGTTCCTGTGATCATACCTAGTGGGCCGTTTGTCTTGCAAACTGTGAATAAAAACATGAAAGAACATCTCCAGTAACGAAATTATAACGAGTTCCTTTCAACACTGCCTCTGTAAAGAGGCAACTGATAAATAATGAAGAGTTTGCAGTAATGTACGCACTCTTTAAAGACGGTGGTTTTAACAAAGATGAGTGCAAGCCAGACAAGGCTGTGATGATTAGACGGAGCTTTGTATATTTTACGAGAATGCAAAATACTCTCAGATGTCATCTAAAATTAAGTGGGGAAAGAAAAATCATATTACATTCTTGTGCTGGCACGTAGAGTTACATAAATAGCCTGACTGGTTTTAATTTTAGAACTCCACATCCGGCTGAAGTTATCACAGTGTTTCAAGAAAGGAAATAAACACAATAACGTACATATGTGTACGTATGAGTTATGTATGTATGAGTGAGTGTGTATGCAGAGGTATGGGCATGTATATGTGGTTCTGTGTCCTTTGTCTACAGGCGCTGTGCCCTGCCCTCATTGTCCTAGACTCTTCCGGACACGCATTGGACGTATAAGTTACTTCCGGACTTAAAAACCTTTAACTGAAGTTGCATGACGGATGAAAGAAAGAGTGGTCCTTATCACTTGCGTGTGTGACGAAAGAAACGGAAAAACCCCAATGTGTTCCTGTGTATATCTAAGTAAGTACGCGTGTATGTATCAGTGTGTGTGTCTGTATGTCTGTATATATATATATATATATATATATATATATATATATATATATATATATATATATATATATATATATATATATATGTATATATATGTGTGTGTGTGTGTGTGTGTGTGTGTGTGTGCGTGTGTGTGTGTGTTTGTGTGTATATGTATGTATGCATTGAGTACGAGCGTGTGTATATATGTGTATGTATGTACAATAAAACCCTGATCAACCGTCACTGATGAGGTCATCAGTTTCTGTTATCGGTCGTCACCAAACAGATATCTCTAAATATGTCCAATTACTGTTACTCTCTGTTGTATGAAGCTACCTGCTTCTACGTTAGATAAGGAACAGTGCGCAGAAAGCTCGAGTCTCAAAGACACAAGAGGAGATGACAAGATTATTTCAAAGTAACATAGGTTTATAGTGTTACAATAAATCTCTGTACATCAACACCCCCTACATTAAAGTTGACACCGATCGTTGTGTAAAATTAAATACAATATGTATGCATTATTTACTTTTAAAGGATTTTTTTTTCGCTTTCGTAAAGGCAAAAAAGGTAAAGTCGGGAGATGTGAAACTGCGACATTGCACACGGTTATAAAGCATAAGTGCTCTGCCACTAGCACAGACAACTGATAAGAAACTGCCCGCTTGTGTTACCGTCCGCACATAATTCCGTAGCTACAGCGACGTTCCTCCAGTCACCCCAGAGTGTCAATTCTGGTACCCATTTCCTAGAGGCTGAGGAAACCACGGGAACCGCCCGGTTTCGAACAGCGACAGTGGCTGCAGCGAGTCGCAGCTGGATTTGAAAGCGAGCCTCATATCGACTGTGCTAACGCGGTTCCCTTCAAGTGACATCGCATTACTGTACACATACTAAGTATTTTCTGTTATCCGTCTATTCAGTTATCCATCACAGTCCTGGTCCGGACAGCGACGGTTAATCGAAGTTTTACTGTAAGTGACGGTTAATCGAAGTTTTACTGTACGTATATTTGAATTTATACATGTTCCATTTTGTACTTTGCGTTTTCACCTTACACTGACGTATTTCGTTATATGAAAGTAACATACTGTGCTGATTAAAATACAATGGCAGTGTGAAAGGTAAGTGTGTAAAAGGGTCGAAAATAAAACGGGCAGGTGACCCTTTCAGAATAAAGTTAAATGTTTCTTTGTTTGTTTCTTCTAACGGTGATATTCCTTAGAATGCTCCCTTTCTCTGTTGCGACCCTTGTGTGTTTACTTGTGTGCAGAGTGTTGGTTTTTCGCTGTTCCGACTTCTGAGAAACAATCTCTAATTAGTTACTTTGTACGACATGCTTGTCAGGGAGGCAGTAGAACTATTATTTTAGAGCCCATGACCCATAACCCACAAATGGGTCCCGGAACCCACTCGAGGAGCAACGTCAGTCGTGTCTGTTACACTCACTGAAGTCATGATTGATTATAATACTTTCCCGCGAAGAGTGAGAAATGGCCAAAGCTTCAGCTGTTAGCTACGCAAGCCAAAAGGATACACAAAAAGTTCTATAGGTAAATCTCGGCATGAGGTTATAACAACAACAAATCCAGTCCTGAGTTAGTCTGTAGTAGCATGACGAGGACAACCATCTGCAGGCTGGTAAATGTTAAATAACGGTGAATGTTGCACACTGGGTGTTCTCAGACCAGCTTTTCTGCATGGAACTTTAAAAATCAAAGTAGTAACTGCAGGTTCTGAAGAAAGTCAGGAAATATGTAGTAACTGTTATGTCCAAGTTACCACACGAAAGTCTGTGTTCATTCCTTCAAGTTAGGTTCAGCTGAATTTATCAGTTATATCAACAGTCCACGAAGCAGGGCAGTTATTACGACAGATAAAGTTAGTTGCGTTTCCTTTACAGGATGTTGGAGAACCAACCCCATAATTTTTGGGGGGCTGTTGTGATTTTTCTATACAAATTTAACATTCAGTAGTTTGTCACTGTTGACTGCACGGTCAGCTCTCGGTACCACTGTCGAAACCAGCGCAAAGCAAACCGTCCCCAGCTGGGATCGACACCGGCACCACGACATTACCAAGCGCATTTTAACGCCTAAGCCAACGACAGATAGCTCTGGGATTAGTTATCACATAATTTTTTGATTGCCAGTAATATTTCCAGCGATGTGTCATGTTTCCTTTGGTTACGTTGAGCAAACCATTCATAACAGCACATGAATCAAAAGAACATTTATGTACTGTAAAATAGCGTTTCAGTGGATTCTGCAATGCTGTAACAACACCTGCTGATAAATTTACAACATGTCAGACTCATTATTTCATATGAAGAAGAATTCCAACTCTACCAGAAACTGTCAATATTGTGGTATACTAATAGTTGATCAAGTATTAGACACATATGGGGGTAGAGGTAGTCAACGTTAGACAACCGCTAGATGATGCTCAGGTGCAACATCCGTGTTCTTATGATCTATTTTGCCAGCTGACACAGAAACACACACCGAGCTAAAACCTAATCAGTACAAACTCCACGTGTTAAAATATGTCAGATTCCCCAAAGGTGTTCGTGTTTGTTCTGTCAGGAGTTCACTAGACCCAGAGATAGCTGGAGGCTTCCGATAGCCGTTTATTATATGCCGAGATGTACACTGCACTCCCATGCATGAACACACAAGTAACAGTCCTGCTACAAATAGCTATAGAAGGCGACGATTTATATTACCACTGTGATTTAGAAGAAAACACACATTTAAAGATGAAGAAAACAGGATTTTAATCAGGTTCCTGCCCCTAAACATATATTATTCGATTTGTCTGGTTTAGCCGAATACAGAATCCTGGTGGTAGACAACTATCGGAGAGAATGCATGGCATGGAGGTGTGTCAGCACATGAACTGATACATGCTGCAGCAGATCGCGGACTGTGGAGGTATGACAATGACAATGATGATGATGATACATGTCAACTACACTATTGTAATTATATTGCTGCGGATTTCCGTTAGCTTCAGCACTCAGTTTTCATCGATAATTGCTCACATTTGGTCAGTAATATTTCATAACACGATCATTTATGTGTTGCAAAAAGTTGTTTTATCGATGATTTATAATTTGTTGCCAAATATATTTTCTCTCTGTTGTAAACTATCTATTTCTTAGCAACAAAGAGACCGAGAAATGTAACTCACAAGATAATATAATTCTGTGCATTGAAAAAAATTTTAACAGACAATGCTTTACGTCTAAATATAGTTTATGTTCAAGAATACACAGAAAATAAAACAAAGATGGAAATAGAAGAACCAGTAAATGTATGTTCAACAGTTATAAGTTATTAGGAGTGTCAGTTTACAATATTTATGTGCCGGCCGGAATAAAATTATCTGCTTAAACAGATAATTGCAGCCACTGTCAAGTCGATCCGGCAAGGCTCCTGTAGAATTTATGTTTTAACAGTAAAGGGGGAAAGCGAGTGGCGGGAGGGAGGCAACGGATAATGAACCAGATGTATACATGGACGTAGCCAGGAGTAGTCGCTGATCCTGGCGCGGTAGCCTGTAATCTAAGCGAGTAGAAGATTAGTGTTGCCGGATGTTAAGTGGTGAAGCAAAAGGCAGAGAGCCTGCACACGGCCCCAGATGGTTCGACTAACTTGCACCAGACGGGCGTCATAACCATTAACAGAATGACTGGGGCGGAAGCTGAATTCACCAGGTGTCTGGCCCTGTTGCTGTAATCGAGTGAGCGTACCAGCTATCACATGTGAACGTGTACTGGCTGCGAGGCCAGCTAGCTAGTCGGTGGCGCTGAAATACCTGATCATCCACTACCCCGCCTACACGAGAGAGGGGAAACAAGAATTTATTGGAATAACAGACTACACCCACACAGGAAGAAGGAAAGACACCTAATGAGTGTGTGTGTGTCTATATATATATATATATGTGTGTGTGTGTGCGAGCGCGCAAGTGCTGTAATGGACAGAGATCTGTATTTTCGATTACTGACTACGCTAACGCTATGTGATCAGATGAAGAGCAAGCAGCCCATGCCATGTTGTTGAAGTACATGTTAATTGCTACTGTAATCCCCCGTGTGGGTTCCGGGGCCCCATTGTCGGGAAAACAAGAATAGACCCACTGCCTCCCCAAAAGCATGTCGTAAGAGTCGACTAATTGGGGAGCCTCCTTTGAAGTCGGAGTGCATCTGCCGGAGAGGCAAGGAACCAACAGTCTGTATTCAAAAGAATGAGATCTGTAAAACTGATGCACATGCAACACTCAGGTTCTGGAACAGGACTGCAGTTCAATAGTGGACGAGCAACCAG